CTGAGCCCGTGTGCCACAACTACTGAGCCTGCGCTCTAGAGCCCTTGAGCCACAACTACTGAAGACTGCGTGCCACGAGGCGGTGCTCCACAGTGAGAAAAGCCACCGCAATGAGAAGCCCATAGGGCGCAATGAAGAGAAGCCCCTGCTCACCACAACTAGAGAAAGCCCACGTGGCAACGAAGACCCAACGCAGCCAAAAATAAATAAATAAAAGTAAAGTTCCCTTTAAAAAAAAAAGGTGGTAGAAAATAAGAGACATTGCACATAGTAAATTTTTTCATGAACCTTCATATACGTACACACAACAGTGCATAATATAAAATGTATGTTTAACTGTGAACAAAATAATTTTAAAATTACTAACTACACAGCATTATAATTACTTTTAGTCCTGTTTTTTAAAGTGAGAGATGACAATCTATCTTTATTGTAAAGCAAAGAAATGGAAAATGTTGACAGCTAATGAAAATATTCCATTGTGACACTCTTTAAAATGCCACTGATATCATGCATGAAGAATGCTCACTCCTATATTACTGAAATCTAAATACTGCTTTCTTACAATCAACTTTGTAATATTTGAACCAGAGAGAAGAGTAACAACACAGAAAACACAATAAAACTCAAAGTCAATCAGATAATGTGGAATATTACTGCTTCTTAGGTGATGGATCTTTTTCATTTTATATGATTTTAACTAATTTTTAAATTTCCGGTCTACGGATATACTCAAGCAGAAGGAACCATCCTAGAAGACTTTGGAATACCAGTGGAAGCCAGCCTGGTGGAATAAACAATCAAAAACTTGCAACATATAATGCATAAACTAGAAAGTATAGATGCAGTCGACCAAGATGTAGTTTTCTTCCACTGACCCACCCTCATATACTTTAAAAGCTACACTGCCCACCTTGCAGTAAGGAAAAATTGGGCAAGTTAAAACTTTGATGCTCTTTTACTAAAACCCTAAATTTAGTCCAATTTTTCTTTTAACTTAGCTAGGTTATACTGATATATGCACATTGCTTTGGATGCTACCCCTACAATTCACTTACTTTAAAATGATTTAAAATAAGAACAAAAATTTCTGCAGAAAGCAAGTTCCATTATACTCTCATGATAAAGCTTCACTTCTTATAAGTTATAAAGATCAGATTCATATACACATGGGTATGTATATTTTTAAAACCACTACTACCACCCATACAGGATATTAAAAAAATAAAATATGAAGCAGTCAATATACTGGTATTTAATTATAGAAAAGATATTTGTGGATATATGTGTGTGTGTGTGTGTGTGTGTGTGTGTGTGTGTGTATTTGAAAATATGCATGAGAAGTTAATGACTGTGGTTACCTTTTTTTTGGACAGGTGAGGGGATGGGAAGAGTAGGGATGACAACCAGGGTGAGAGGAAGGCTTTGCACTGTACATCTGGTTATACTTTGATTTTAAAACTATTACTGGGCTTCCCTGGTGGCGCAGTGGTTGAGAGTCCGCTTGCCGATGCAGGTGACGCGGGTCCGTGCCCCAGGCCGGGAAGATCCCACATGCCACGGAGCGGCTGGGCCCGTGAGCCATGGCCGCTAAGCCTGCACGTCCAGAGCCTGTGCTCCGTAACGGGAGAGACCACGACAGTGAGAGGCCCGCGTACTGCAAAAAAAAAAAACTATTACCTATTTTGGCAAATTAGGGGTTCTCATTCTATTCTCCCTTCATGAATTGCCTGGCTTCCGCACCCTATTCCACATCCTGCACACACGCACACACAATCACCCAGAAGTAATTTGAGGCAGGTATGCTTTCACTTTGACAAAAGACTTTCTCCCGATCTTGAAAAAGTGAACCTATACTCTTAGCACCCACGTGACAGGCATAAATGCCACCTGTCTTTGCAGGATGCCAGGACCCCAGGTCACATCCACAGCCCCTCCTCAGCACACCCATCACACTGCAAACCATCACACTGCAGACATTTGCTGAGGGCCTGCTATGTGCCAGATGCTGTTTGGAAGCATGGGACACAAAAGTCAGTAGGACAAGGTACCTGCCTTCCCAGATCTCAAAGCCTCAAGGAGAGGAGAGGAGACAGAAGAGCAAACAGGTAATTTCCAAATGATACGGTATATATAGTGGGAAAAGTGTAATCTACATAATCTACCACATTATATTTTAATTATTTTTTCTCCTGTTTTCCCACGTCTCTCAAAGGTGAGAGTCTCTGGCACAGGCAATGGGTCCGTAGTGATCTTTGGATCCCCTGAGCTAAGCATGGTACCAGCATGATCTGAACTTCATAAATGTCTCCTGCATGGTAATGCAATGGTATTTTAAGAAATACATTCATATATGTCTTAATGTTTCAGAATGGTGATTGATAAACACATCAACTATTAACCTGGACCTCTGTGGTGTATTATAATCTTAGAATTTCAGAACCAAAAGAAACATCTTTAACCTCAGAAGACCTGTGATCTTTTAGTCCTTAACATGTAGTTTTGGCTTTGATTCCATAAAGGGGGAAAATTATGAAAGCTAAGCCTATCTGTTTCTTTTCCTGGAAACCAATGCACTCTTGTTTGTTTTTACTGGTAGGAGTGGAAGCTTTCACCCAGTAACTTAAAATTCCAACCATGGTTAATACATTAGTAATTTCTTGCAATATTCAGAAACAAAAGTGATTTTCAATTTGACACAGGTTTGCCAATATTAATTTAAAACTTCTTACACTTCAAACCTTGGACTTCTAGGTAAGAAAAATAATAGTCTTGCCTTGCTCTGAGCTCTATCCAAAACAAATGACAGAAATGAATTGCAAACATAACATGAGGAGTCATTGCAATTAATCAACGCAGAACCCAAGGGAGGAACTGTTTCTATTTTTAAGTGCACTGTTGCTTTAAGGGAAGACCCACTGGAGAAACATAAAACCAAGCTGCATAATGAAAATCAAAATGCATTTGGTGTCTCCCTCCTTGCAAAGACAGTAATCCTAACCTGCAAGCAGCACTGCTGTGTTCACTCCTCCCAGTTTGTCTGTAAACTGAATGACAGGTACCCAGGCAGAATCCCACAGAAAGGGCCCATCCACCACTCAAAGAATCATATCTGTCAGGAGGTCAGAACAAGAGAACACCCATGTTTCAGTGCTATTCTTATAGTTCCAGATAAGGGGCTATTCCAAGAAGCAAGCAGATGGGTAAATCCCCAAGTCACCCTTCAAATCATTACTTAAAAGATGCTCATTAGTAACGGCAGTGGTGGCCCTAAAAATGATCAATTGATTATTTAGCAGTTCCAACCAACTGTCTACAGTTGTAATTTCTATCCAAATTCCACAACACTAAATCTGTGTCTGCCCACAAATGACAAAGCTTCATTTCATTAAATAGTAGCTTACAGTAACACTCCTGATGGTTAAGAGTGACAAGGAGCAGGTGTCAAACCAGCAAGGGAAACAGAAGCCACAGCTACATAAAAGGAGTTAACATTCTACCTGTTTCCTAGACTGCTTTGAAGACTGACCCAGCAGAATTTTTTTCTCAAACAATATTCAGGTTGAGGGGGGGAGGGAAATGTTGGTGATGTGGGTGACTAATTTAATCTGTAAATATCTTAATTCACTCAATGAGTTTACTTACTATCACTAAGAAATACACAACTACATTGCTATAAATGTATCTAAAATCCTATAAATATCTAAAATGTATCTAAAAATATTATTCAAGGATACATCCATTACTGAAAAGTATTTAACATATTTTAAATACAACTTAGCTATTTAAAATCGCCATAACAATCTGCTACAGGAAGCAGAATGTTTGCACATTGGATAAAACTTTCTAGCCTCAGCACAAAAAGCAAAGAATCCCCAAACTTACCTCCTGATAATTTCTCCCCCCCAAATTTAGTAAAACTATGCCTGAACACCACATGATTATAGAATGAAGGCAGTTGCTTCCTTTAGCAATAAAGTAACAAACCCTACTTCAGAGTCTCTCTTTAGTGAAAAAAAAAATCTCTGAAGAATAACAAAAAAATCACTAAATTGTAACACACCAATCAACAGGTGACTTTTAGAAACACAAACTCTCCTCAGAGAGGAATTAATTTTGTCAGATCTCCCTGATTTCTCTTTCCTATTTTTACAAACTACTGCATTGCTACACTAGATGAATTCCAACCGTTTTCTTCTCAGGGGCTTACCAAAAAAATGCCAAATATTCAAATTATTTTAGGGCATTTTCCCATACTGTTGCGTGGAATAGAGCAGAATTAATAAGGATCCAACAGTTACCACTTTTCAAATGCAAATGTTGCCATCTAGTAAATGCAGCCCCTTTTAAACATCCCCCCAGTGTCTACACAGCTCCATGCACTACTTTTGTTTCCTTGAAAATCGAAATTCGCGCATTACATTCAGGCATTATCTCAACTCAGAACCAACAAAAAAATAGATCTTAAATGGTCCAGGCCTGAGCCTGCATCGTACAAAACTGTTCTGCTTTATTGTGCGGGGGTGTTCCCTCCCACACCCCATTTTACACACAAAGTTCCTTAACAATTCTGCCAAATAAAGCAAACAGTACAGTGGTGGAAAGAACCAGGGGCACTGGGTTCCACGAGCTAGGCCTTGGGGTGGTCACTTGCTCGCCTCAGGCCTCAGTTTTCTCATCTGTAAAATGTGGCTATTGGACTAATCATCTCTAGGGTCCCATCCGGCCCCCTAAAGCCGGGAGGGGACACAGCGGACTGGTCCTGGTTCAGGCCGGGGTGCCCTGCCTGATGCTGCTCTAGATGGGAGGGGACAAGGGGGAGGGGGGCAGAGGGAGGAGAGAGAGGAACTTGGACTTGCAACAGCTTCAGACAGGAGCGTGCGACAAACTTGAAGCCGTCCTCCTAACAATAGGCAAGAGCACTCCCATTTTCCGGGCTCAAACTTGCAGGAGGCGGCGGGGCTGCACCCTCCTGACCGCCCTCTCGGCACCCGCTTTACCTTTCTCCCTGTTTGGTGTTAGAAGGAGGAGGGTACAGGACCGTTTGATTCCCTTCCATTTCCACCACGCACTTGGTGTTCAGTTCCAGTTCTGAAAGCAAAAGGGAAAACGAACGTTGCCAAGCCGAGCATCCGTGCCCGCAGCCCGCCTCTGCGCGCCGCATGGGACTCCCCCGGGAGGCGGCCGAACCCGGAGCCGGGAGCCGGCGCACCGGGTCCCCGCGGCCGGTGCGGGCGCCGCCTCCGCCCC